AACATCAACACCATGAAAAACAGGTGGTTTCCTAAGCATTCCAAAAAAGGGAAGTGTTATGCATTAATATTTGCTAATTTAACATTATATTAACTTGTTTGGATTTTATGAATACATCCCTTATTATTCATGTAATTTAAAATTACATGGTCATGTGTGTTTAAAATAGATTTTTAAAAGAAAATAAAAGTATGAGGTAATATTAATCAGAGCATAAAGCTCATCTTTAAAAACCATAAAAGAAGGGGGGAGTTGGGGAAATGGGTCAAATAGGTGATGGGAATTAAGGAGTGCACTTTTCATGATAAGCATCAAGTGATGTATAGAACTGTTGAATCACTATATTGTACACCTGAAACTAATATAACCCCATATATTAACTAACTGGAATTAAAATAATAACTTAAAAAATAAATAAAGCCATAAAAGAAAATCTCAAAGTCCTTAATGAAGTAGAACACAATTCAGAAGAGAGACCTATTAAAAAAATGTTTAATTTGGTATCAATTATAAGGACCTTAAAGCATCACTTAAAATATCAAACTACTATTGTATAATAAACTGATAGTAATATAAAGCTTGAACAACCATAAAGCCTTATTACTAAAACTGGCCACTTGACCAACAGGATCAGCATCACTTAGGAGTTTCTTAGAAATGCAGAATCTCAAAGCCCATCCTTGAACTGTTGAATGAATTGGTATTTTGTCAATAAGGTCACTAGGTGATCCATATGCATATTAAAGTGTAAGAATCACTGTCCTATAGCATAATTTTAATTATTACTTCAAAAATTATACAGTATTGTTTATTTCATTGCATTAGAAGTGAATGAGCTACTTGAACAAAGTTCTAGAAAATTCAATTTGCTATCTGAAAAATCTATTTCTATTTATACATTTGCATATGTACACACCTAATAAATTTCTCTTATTTAGATAGATACTTGATGAATATTAATAGCATACAGTAAAAGTGAATTAATTTTTTCTAATCCTAAAGTGTCAGGGTAATGAAAATTATATATTTGTGAATCAAAGAAAATAGTTTACAATAATTTCTTCAAATTTTTTAAAAGATGATTTTAAAGAATCTTCTTTTTACAAATCATGATAACTTTTAAATGATTCAATCAGCAACTTCCCATCCTAAACTACTGATGTTAGAATTCTCATAACTTCTAAAAACTCTAATTTTCCAATGTAGTAGGACTCTACTTTGCTAAAATCGCTGGAGCCTTGCATAAAACACAAACACACACTGTGGAAATTCCAAGCTATTTAAACAAAATAAGCATAGGGATTTCTGTCATTTTAAAATGCAGAAACAGGAGACATTATGCCTTAAGGACCAGAAGATATCTATAGACATTTCCAAATTAATTCAATCTACAGCAATGTATCAAAGGGATCCCAGTCCCTCAGAGCACTCTGGATGCTGAGATAGGTTCCTGAGAACCTTGGAACCCACCCTTGAACTGTTGAATCAATTGATATTTGGTCAATAAGGTCACTAGGTGATCCATATGCATATTAAAGTATAAGAATCACTGTCCTATAGCATAATTTTAATTATTACTTCATAAATTATACAGTATTGTTTTTTATTTTTTTGCATTAGAAGTGAATGAGCTAAGTACATTCCATGTACAACAAAATTTACTAAAACGAATACAGACAATTCAAAATTCTATGATAAACTTAGAGTACTCTTCAAACAACTTATGCCAAATATTTACTTACTTAAGTACTTCTCTAATTCTGAGACTTTAGGGCGAGTAACTATAAAATAGGGAGCAATATAATCTTTAACGTTATTTACCTGAAAACTTTCCACTTTTAGGATGAGTAACAATTATGAATAAATGATAGTCATTTTAATAAAATACGTGGAATTTTTAACAACTAGGATTACTTGAAAATGAAAGATTATTTTTTAATCAAATTTCTTAAGAGTAATTCAATCATATGCCTCACACTAATTTGTATAACAGAATACAAATAATCACGATTTGACCTATCCTATCTTTTATTTTATGTAAAGGTTTATCTGACACATAAAGAGTTTAACTTATGAAAATGTGATTTATTTTGTGAAGATATCTTAGAAAATTATTGTGTTTTAAAGAAAACTTTATCTACTGAAAATAACATGATGTAAAGAGAATCTGGACTCTTAAACAACTTACGTGGAATATCCTCTTGAGGTCTATTTTTCCGTAGTAGAGAATATAGACACAAGCTACCAAATACCTAGAAAAGATGGATGCTGTGATGTTGAGAGAAGAAACAGAGAGGGAGAAAAGAAATCTCAGACTTTAATTTTTTCATTCAACTTTATCCACAGTTTGCATCGGTAATATACATTTAGTGTTCCATTTATTTTTAAATGCATCAGAAAATCAATTATGATAGATCTGTGACCAATACAAAGATTTCTGAATTCTTCAAAAAATTCACTTAGAAAAGTCAATAAACTAGCATTCTGTAGAGATCATTATTAAACAAATGGTAATGCATTTTTACTTCTTATTTCAATTCTAACATATCCAAAATCACTTCTTTCTTGTGCCATATAGTAATAAAATTTAGCAGATGTAGCTATCTACTACATTTTTTAGGGCCTAATAAAATATTTCAGTTTGATTATTTAACCCTCTTCAAATCACAAATCCAATTCAAATAATTATAATCAATCTTAACTCAATAATTGATGAAGTAAATATAAAAGAACCATAAGAACCATCTAGAATAAAATTTACACTTATTTAAAAACTAATAAAAGAAATACATTAGAGCCTTGGTAAAATGTTTCCTTGGGGACTATGCTGAGAAACTGACTTAGAGGTCGTGTTGCCTTCTGGCACTACAGTAAATAAACTAACATGATATAGACCTCAGATGGACCCATCTTAAATGGAATTTTGCTTTGCAGTAAAGAATGCTACAGTATGGTTCTGGTGTATTTTCCCTTTAAGGTAATAACTGACAAGTAAATGAAATGTAATAAGGAAGTGGCCTATAATTTCACTAATATTTCAATGATATGAAACAGGAAAATAACTGTAAAATAACTTCCAGGTTGATTAATAAGAGGACTTCTACAGCATGATAACTAAGAAAGGTATATGGATGATTGCTGTAGCTTTTACCGGTCACTTTATTTGTAAAATTGTCAAATTTCTACAACAAAAACTAACAACTTAAGATATTTATTTGCCATTTCTTACCTTTATTACCCAAGTTTTCACTAGGGAGATTGATTATGCCAATGAAGTTTTTTTTTTTTTTTTTTTTTTAAAGATCCAACTGAAAAATAGTAACTAATTAGCTCAAATATTTAAAGTAATAAATTACTAATAATTTAATTTTTAAACCTTATAGTCACAAGAAGCTTTAATTCTTTAAAAGCTCCAATTTCACACTTGGGGAATGTAAAGAACACATCCATATTCTAATGCCAAAATTTAATTATATGGCTTCATGCCAACTGATCTAAAAAAGTTGAGTTGTTCCTAAACCAACCCTTACTATACCATTTGGCACACTAGTTTTTAACTTTTATATATGCCCTTTGAAATACCCAGGCCAACACTTTTAATAAGTTGCATCCATATTAAGAGGTAACAAGTGCAAATAATCACATATTTAAGATATGGTACTTGCTTGGCTACTACAAAAGTAATTATACTAAGGTTCTTCTATAGCAAACTGAGTTATTCATTACAGTAATGTTTTTGAAAAATTCTTGCACTACTACCAACATAAATGCATCCATCTCCAAATTAAACAAGGACTTTGGAACACAGTATACTTATGAAAATATTTATAGACTGTTCTGTGTTTAACTCAACATCTTATTAATTGAGGGTCATAAGATTTACAGGATCCACAGAGGGCCAGATTTTAAACAAAAACCTATTCTTCAATTGCTGCTCTTTGAATCTGAATAAAATTAATGGCAGAATACTCACATAATGTTACTGAAAGTCAGGACATAAACCCAAACTTTGGCAGTTTTATCAAAATGTCCTTGATAATTAGTACTTTGCTACTTCTCAAAAACCTTACTGCTTTGTGTAACATTTTCAATACAGAAATAAAATACTCTTCAAATAATACATTTTAAAAGATGATTAAGTTTTGCAAAATTAAATAGCATAAATTAAGCATATTAACATTGTTTTATTTTTTTTTTTTTTTTTTTTTTTTTGACAACATGACATAACCAATTTAAGGAAAACTGCAATGGACTAAATAAAAAACCACAAATGTCACAATGTGAGGCACATTTAAATCCTCACATATTACTGACCTTACAAAATCTACTAAAATATTTTAAAGTTCCATTGATTCCATTAATACATAAAAAGAAATTGCAAAAATGCTTAAGACTATATAAGAGTCATCAATTACACAGGCACTTCACATGTAAACAATCTACAGTACAACTGAAAATATTTTGGCACCAACCTATAATACTAAAAGAATTTAATATAAAGCCAGAGTTCTGCATTTTCTACTCATTTTTTTCTAGAAAACTAAGACCAAAGATTGAAGAAACTGTGTATAAACTAGAATTAGAAGTGTATTAAATAACTCAAATATAGAATAGTTTTAAATCGGTAAAAAAATGATTACCTCATCCAGGTGTTTACTAGTATGCTATGATATAAAAAATTAAACCTAAATGATTATTAAATTGAAACCACATTTTAAATTTAGTATCAATCTGGTTTTTGAAAAATAATCAAGGTTATCAACTGACTTAGTAAAAAGAGAATTTGAATTTATCAAAAACTCATATTAAGTTAATCCTGTCTCCCCCAAAAGAAGTTCGGGCAATTCAAATTTAATTTTTATGTTTTAACATGATTTTTTTAAACCTAAGGCTTGACCTAATTAAATTATTTTTTATTAGAGATTCTTATCATGAATTTGAGATATTGAAAATCACTTCAAATAAATGCAACTATACACTTATGATTTTGAAATGTTACATCAAGCTGTAGAAAGCTGAGATGCCTTGGTTGTAGGTAATTCAAGAAGAGCCTGAACTGTGACACCGACTTTCACAAGACCTCTCTCTTCCAAAATGTGATGAGGCAAACAGAGTCTTTCCTGAAAAACAAAATAAATGACATCAGAACATTTGTTTTTCAATAGTGCAGTAAAGCCTAAACAAGTCAGAAATAGATTTTTAAAACGTTTCCTGTAAAACATCAAGTAAAAAGTACACCATTCTAATTAAATTAAATTCTAATTTTTAAAATTGTCTTATTGAGGTGTAATTCACATATAACATTATATTGGTTTCAGGCATAAAACAGAATGATCTGAAATATGTATATGGTATAATGCAAAATGATCATCACAATAAGTCTAGTACCATCCATTACCATACAAAGTTAACTTTTAGGATTTACTCTCTTGGCAACTCAAAGCTTATTCTACAATATCACTGACTATCGTCACTATGTGGTACATTACTCCCACGACTTATTTATTTTATGACTGAAAGTTTGTACCTCTTGAGCCTCCATCACCTAATTTCACTTACTCTCCTCTAGCAAACACCATTCTATTCTCTGTATGTATAATGTACATTTTGGTTTTTTATTTGTTTTTTTAGACTCCACATATAAGTGAAAACATACAGGATTTGTTTTTCTCTGTCTGACATAATTTGCTTATCATAGTTTCCTCAAGGTCCAACCATGTCACAAATGGCAAGACTTCATTCTTTTTATGGCTGAGTAATATTCCTATGTGTGTGTGTGTGTGTGTGTGTGTGTGTGTATCACATCTGTATCCATTAATCAGTTGATGGATACTTGGGCTGCTTCAATATCCTGGCTATTGTAAATAACACTACAATGATCTCCAGGGTGTATATATTTCTTTAAATTGGTATTTTTGTTTTCTTTGGATAAACTTTCAGAAGTAGAATTGCTGGATCTTATGGTATTTCTATTTTTATTTTTTTGAAGAACCTGCATAGGGTTTTCCATAGTGACTATACCAATTTACATTCCCACCAACAGGGTATTAGAGTCCTCTTTTCTCCACATCCTCACCAACATTTTGTCTTTTTGACAGTCAGTCTAACAGATGTGAGATGATATCCCATTGTTCTACTTCTAAAAGTCTGGGTAGCTCAAGCATCCAACTCTTAATTTCAGCTCAGATCATGATCTCAGTGTCATGAGAATGAGCCCCCGTTGGGCTCCTTGCTCAGTGTGGAGTCTGCTGGAGGTTCTATTCTGCTCCTTCTACCTACCCCTCAGGAGGATAAATAAATAAAATCCTTTAAAAAAAATCAATAAAAGCAAGCCAACACCAAGCCAAATCATAGTTAAATTTGTGAAATATAAAGATAAAGAAAAATCCTAAAATCAGCAATAAAAATGGAGTCCCTAACTTATAAGGGAAGGCAAAATTAGCAGAAGATCTTTCCACAGAAACTTGGCAGGCCAGAAGAAAGTGGCATGATATATTCAAAGTGTTGAACAGGAAAAATCTACAGCAAAGAATACTCTATCCAGCAAGGATATCAATCAAAATTGAAGGAGAGATAGAGTTTCCTAGAAAAACAAAAACCAGGAGTAGGTGACCACTAAATCAGCCCTTCAAGAAATATTAAAGGGGACTCTCTGATTAGGAAAGAAAGACAAAATGCAACAAAGACAAGAAAGGAACAGAGAAAATCTCCAGAAACAATGACAAAACAAGTAATAAAATGGCACTAAATTCATATGTATCAATAATTACTGTGAATGTAAATGGACTAAAAGCTCCAATCAAAAGACAGAGGGTGTCATAATGGATAAAAGACAACACCCACCTATATGCTGCCTAAAGGAGACTCATTTTAAACCTAAAGACACCTACAGATTGAAATTGAGAGGATGGAGACACACTGGCCAAGCTAATGGATGCAAAAAGAAAACAGGAGTAGCAATACTTATATCAGAAAAACTAGATTTTAAACAAAAGACTGTAACATGAGATGAAGAAGGGCACTATATCATAATAAAGGGGTCTATCGAACAAGATCTAACAATTATAAATATTTATGCCCCCAGCTTGGGGGCAAAACAAAGCAATAACAAACACTGAGGAATTCATTGGTAATAATACAATAATAGTAGGGAACTTTAACACCCCACTTACAGCAATAGACACATCATCTAAACAGAAACTCAACAAGGGGAAATGCCTTTGAATAACCCACTGGAACAGATGGACTTATCCAGAACATTTCATCCTAAAGCAGCAGAATACACATCCTTTTCAAGTGCACACTGGACATTCTCCAGAATAGATCATATACTAGGTAACAAATCAGGCCTGAACAAGTATAAAAAGATTGACATCAGGGCACCTGGGTGGCTGAGTGGGTTTAAGTGTCTGCCTTCAGCTCAGGTCATGATCCTAGGGTCCTAGGATGGAGCCCTACATTGGACTCCCTACTCAGTGGGAGTCTGCTTCTCCCTCTGCCTGCCACTCCCTCTGCTTGTTCTCTCTCTCTGACAAATAAAATCTTAAAAAAAAAAAAAAGGAGAAAAGACACAAATAAAATCAGAAAGAGAAGAAATTACAACCAACACAACAGAAATACAAACAATTATAAAAGAATATTATAAAAATAATATTCAAAAAAATGGGCAATCTGGAATAAATGGATAAATTCCTAGAAATATATCAAAACCTACCAAATATATCAAAACCTACCAAAACTGAAACAGGAAAAATTATAACACTTGAACAAACCACTACCCACCAAAGAAACTGAATCAGTTACCAAAAATCTCCCAACAACTAAAAGTCCTGGGCCAGTTGACCTCACAGGAGAATTCTAACAAACATTTAAAGACTTAATACCTATTCTTTCAAAACTTTCAAAAAAGTTTTTTAAAAAAACTTTCAAAATCATTCTACAAACCCAGCATTACCTTGATTCTAAAACCAGACTGAGACTCACATAAAAAGAGAACTACAAGCCAATATTCCTGATGAAAAATTCTCAACAAAATACTAGCAAATCAATCCAACAGTACATTAAAAGAATCATTCACCAGGATCAAATGGGATTTATCCTTGGGTTGCAAGAGTGGTTCAATATTAGCAAATTAATCAATGTGATATACCACATTCATAAAAGAAAGGATAAGAACTGTATGATCCTGTCAATAGGTGTAGAAAAAATATGTGACAAAGTAAACTATAAAACACTGATGAAAGAACTTGAATATGACACAAGAAATGGAAAAGCAGTCCATGCTCATGGACTAGAAGAACAAATACTGTTAAAATGTCCATACCATCCAAAACGATCTAGATCTTGAATGCAATCCCTATCAAAATACCACCAGTATTTTTCAGAGCTAGAATAAACAATCCTAACATTTGTATGGAACCAGAAAAGACCCCAAATAACCAAAGCAATCCTGAAAAAGAAAAGCAAAGCTGGAGGCATCACCATTCCAGACTTAAAGTTATATTACAAACCTGAAGTGAACAAAACAATAGGATACTCACTCAAAAACAGAAACATAGATCAATGGAACAGAATAGAAATCCCAGAAAAGGACCTATAATTATATGGTCAACTAATCTTCAACAAAGCAGGAAAGAATATCCAACGGAAAAAAGACAGTCTCTTCAGTAAATGGTGTTATGAAAACTGGACTGCAACATGCAAAGGAATGAAACAGGACTACTTTCTTACCCCAAACAGAAAAAAGAAATTCAAAATGTAATAAAGACCTAAATGTGAGATAGGAACCAATCAAAACCCTAGAGAACACGGTCAGTAACCTCTTTCACATTGACTGTAGCAAATTCCTACCATATACGTGTCCTGAGGCAAGGGAAACAAAAGGAAAAAATAAACTATTAGGACTTTATCAAGATAAAAAGCTTCTGAAGAGTGAAGGAAACAAACAACAAAAGCAAAAGGCAACCTTCAAAATGGGAGAAGATATTTTCAGGTGACATATCTGATAAAAGGCTGGTATCCAAAATTTATAAAGAACTTACAAAACTTACCCCCCCAAAATGTAATTCAGTTAAAAAATGGGCAGAAGACATGAGTAGACATTTCTCCAAAGATATCAAGATAGATGGCTAACAAACACATGAAAAGATGCTCAAAATCACTCATCATTAAGAAAATGCAAATTAAAACCACAATGAGATATGATTTCACACCTGTCAGAATAGTTAAAATTAACAATACAGGATACAACAGATGTTGGAGGGGATGTAAAGAAAGGGGAACCCTCTTATACTGTTGCTGGGAATGCAAACTGGTGCAGCCATTCTGGAAAAGAGTATGGACATAACTCAAAAAGTTATCTTTTCATCAAGATAAAAAGCTTCTGCACAGTAAAGGAAAGTCAACAAAACAAAGAGGCAATGCACGTAATGAGAGAAGATATTCAGAAAGGATGCTACAAACAAAGGGTTGATAGCCAAGATCTATAAAAAACTCCTCAAACTCAACACTCAAAAAACAGATAATCACTAGGAGGTTCAGAAAACCCCCCTCAAAATCAGTAAGAATAGGTCCACACCCAGTCACCTAATAGTAAAATTTACAAGTCTTAGTGACTAAGAGAAAATCCTGAAAGCAGCCCGGGAAAAGAAGTCTGTAACATACAATGGTAAAAATATTAGATTGGCAGCAGACTTATCCACAGAGACCTGGCAGGCCAGAAAGAGCTGGCATGATATATTGAGAGCACTAAACGAGAAAAACATGCAGCCAAGAATACTATATCCAGCTAGGCTATCATTGAAAATAGAAGGAGAGATTAAAAGCTTCCAGGACAAACAAAAACTGAAAGAATTTGCAAACACCAAAGCAGCTCTACAGGAAATATTGAAAGTGGTCCTCTAAGCAAAGAGAGACCCTCAAAGTAGTAGATCAGAAAGGAACAGAGACAATATACAGTAACAGTCACCTTACAGGCAATACAATGGCACTAAATTCATATCTCTCAATACTTACCCTGAATGTTAATGGGCTAAATGCCCCAATCAAAAGACACAGGGTATCAGAATGGATAAAAAAACAAAACCCATCTATATGTTGCCTACAAGAAACTCATCTTAAA